GTGGTGATTGTCGCCTGTCCGTCAGAAGTGCCTCCTCGCTCATCTCCTCTTCATTGGTTGGTCGACATCGCGATGGAATCGATTAGTGGCAACGTGTTCGCCGCCGAGCGCATTCGCAAGCAACGCAACCGCAAGGTACGATGATGCTGTCGCCGCCATCCTCGCTGCCGCCTCGTCTCTCTCCTGGTGCCCCCGTTTTTGGTACGGCGCTCGGCCGCCGCCATCGGCGCCGTGCCAGCGGCGCGCGTGACCAGATGTTTTCCCGCCCTCTCGTCGCCGGGACACTAAGGCACAAACAGCGCCTTTGATCCATCGATCAGTCAATCGATCGACCGATGAATGGCTGGCCTGGGCCGAGCCGGATATTGATCACGAGCGACGGCGAGGTCCGGCGGCGGCGCTATGGCTTTTCGGCCGGCCCACATGGCAAAGTGCGACATTTTTATGTCATTTTTTCAGGGTCAAGTCGAATATCTGATCAAATGGAAGGGATGGAGCTCAAAGTAAGTGTTCTTTAACACGTCGCTAGGTGACGCTGCAGTCGCTATTAGTCGATCGATACATAATGTTTTTGCGCGCTGTTGCAGATGGGACTCGTGGGAACCGAGCGAAAACATTCTCGATCACAGACTGATCCATGACTTCCATCGGCGCATGGACCGTGTTCAGAGCCGTCGGAAGCGGCCGAGACGCGGCGCCTATTCTCCGGCCAAGGTATGTGTAGTGAAAGAAGGGTCAAAAAGTTCACCGCCTCCTGTAGCCGACCGGTCGTTTCGTTTAGAAGCGTGAAACCGTAAGGGCGGCCGCAGCTTCAGTCGTTGCTGCCTCCTGTCAAGAACAGACACCACTGTCCACGTCGCGAAAACCGCCGCCGCCACATCAGTCGTTGGACGACTCGGACGACGGCGCAGAGACCCATGCTGCAGCTGGAGCGGTCAGTGATGACGTCAGCGACAGTCGGGAAGAGTCCCCTGTCGCCGTGCACCGTAATCGTAAAATATCACCGCTCGTCATCTCCATCAACAACCTACCCAAAGGGACCAGTAATCGTGTTCTCAGCGATGATGACGATGAGGAGGGTTACGAGGACGATGAAGACGAGGAGGGCGTCAGCATGTGCGAAGAAGGCACGACCGATCCGGCGCCGTCTGGTGGCGGCGACACTTTTCACGAACGGTCGCCCTCCCCTCCGCAACTGTCACCTCACGGAGCGTTGTCGGAAGCGGGGAATGAACAGTCGCCCTTTTCTCGGGGTTCTGAAAGTCTCTTGCTCGGGGTAGTCGCTAAAGACTCCGCATCGGCTGTCGGGCAGGGCACAGAGCCTAACGCGGCGCTTCCTCTCCGCAGGGTAGTCTGTAACGATCAGTTTCAGTACGCCGACTGTACCCTGACGGATGTCCGAATCAATGACCGTACTGTAACCTTCGTAGAGTTGTGATTACTAACGCAGGTACTTAGACCTACGTTCGCCATGAGCAGTCAGTCAGCAGTGCACAGGAGCGAGGTTCCGCATCGGTTAACTATCGATCCCTTCTTGACTTTTTCTTACCAATATTCTTTACTGATATTTATGTCTAATTTTTTCTCCCCGTGCAATATTCAGGCGCTTCATATTCTATTTCGATTCTAGTTATTTTATTAGGTTTCATTGATACACGTTTGTTCTGTGTATCGCACGACAATTACTGACAGTTCTCTGTTTTATTTTGTCGTTATTAATTAAATTTTACTCTGTTGCTTACTGTATTTTGTAAATTGGAGCAATTTGCGACCACCTTCATTTTTTCTATTGCAACAACGTGATTTGCGCAAACACGATGGCGAGTGGTGACTTTTCTAGAGAAGACAACAGTATAACAGTATAAAAATTCTTCTTGCAACGAGGCAAACCACCACAAATCTAATTGGAATGAACACCGTGGGTACGAATTAGTTGGCATTAAGACCGAAAATTGGCATGGAGCAAAGTATGTCTTGTCTCTCTTCAGGGTTTAGTTGTTAATTTGCAAAGATGATGATGTTGATTGCGCTATTACTGAAGCTGCTTCGAAGGAGTTGTTGAACTACAGGCATTGTATCACTGAAAATATATGTACCGGAGGACGTCGTTGTTCTGGTCATTCATTCACTTAACTTTGTGATGCAATTGTATGGGTACTGACTGCATTGCTTGATTCACTGTAAAAGTGTCTCTGTATGACTCAGATACTTTTGAAATGATGAAACGTTTTTGAATTAAATCAACAGATGTAGCAAATTTTATGCTCTGTAGCATTTTAGCTTTTTAATCCACCGGTTATATAATTTAGATTACTTTTTTACGTTTTGACAGTTTTCTTCAGCAAAATGTTTCATCGTCATTTGCGATGCACAGACCGACAGATCTATAAATGATATTAAAGCCAGTTTTTCATTTTTGTATGTTCCTTTCGACACTGTAGCAGCAATGCTCATCAACGTATTTAATTAGAATTGTCAAGAATTATGCATATTGTCAAATTGAACTCCGTCTATCAACTGCCAAATTGAGAGATTGACCCGTCATCCAAGCAATTCACAATTTTGGCAGATCTCTACTATT